TTTACCTTCTTTCCTTGTTTCGTTTTCGTTCCTTCAGGAGTACTGCAAAAGAGCGTGATTACAAACGTTATGATCCATATATGTATATAAGTATATAACATATTGTATATCATACTATGATATAGGATAGAATCTGTGCTTGACAATATTTACTAACCATTAACTAGATTAGTTGCGTCAAACATTTTTTAACATATTTATATGAAGTTAAAGTCATTTTTACTCATTAAGCAACCTTATTTCTATCTGATTAACAGGTTCTTGGACTTATGGTGGCTTAGAAGTAGATTTGCGACATAAAGATGCACATACCGAGCGGACTGAAAGCGAAAGGGTACTCGGTTTTGATGGTGAATACGATGAAACTGTTTGGATCGTCGATGAAGGTTGCAAAAACGAAATATGACTGTAAAATTTTAAACTAAATGCTTTAAAAATTTTGAAATCGATATCTGCGCTTTAGGAATTGATCTCAGCGATTATTACCCAAGCGTTGAATGGGATATTCTTGGTGTACCAAGCAAACGTCACTTGAAAAGGTGATAGCAGTAATTCGTTATTATTAGTTATTCAAATTATAATTAATATTTTAGAGCTTGTTGTAATATGATCTCGCGCAGGAGTGTGATACCTGTAATCGCGATGTAATAAAACCACTTTCTTTATCATCTGGATACTTCCTGTAGCAACCTAAGCACTTTTTTTTCGCAACACTTTGGGAAGCTGACCAGTTCTCCATTTCGATCAGTGTCATCAAAAATAATTTCAGATATCCATGCTGTGAATCTCCCTTTATCGATTTGACATATGAAATTCGTTTACGACGGAAAACACTATTTTATATCGTATACTTAATTTTCCCAATCGTGAGCATCAAGTAAAAAATGTTATTATAAAGTTGGTAAAATAGAGCACTAATGGCTGGAAGTATTTTGTGGAATTTATACATGTTTTAACCAAATTTCGTGTGAATAGTGCATATCTTATTTTAAAAATTATTTTTTTTATAGTTTTTTAACAGTGTTGGTCTTCTATCTACCTTCAGATGGAGGCGAAAAAATATCTCTATGCCTCAACATACTTATTTCACTCACGATTTTTTTTCTGTTACTTGGTAAGCTTTGATTTCTACTGCCATCCAATGGCTCAGCACATGATTAATGAATTTATGTTGCAGTGGAAATCATTCCATCGACTTCACTGGTTATACCTCTGATTGGTAAATATCTTCTCTTTACTATGGTTTTGGTTACATTGTCAGTAATTGTAACAGTTATTACATTGGTATGTGTCATTTCTCTCATTAAGAATACCATTATGGAAAATAACTTAAAGAATTTACATCTTTCGAATAATTGGAAAAATCACATGTGATGATTAAATTTTCTTTATTTTTGATGCATTAAAAGTATGTGTTCTTAAGTATCATTTCATATAAAATCTTGATATAGAATGAAAGCATATAATATGAGGAACAGAAAATTAAATTGTCAACAAGGTTACGTTACCTCGTCAACATTATTCATGACTTAATCGAGTTAAATTTTAGAATGTGCACTTTCGATCACCCTCAACTCATACAATGCCTAAATGGGCTAAGAAAATTTTCATCAACTTTTTACCGAAATATCTTTTAACAAGGCGTCCAATACCGATAAAAATCAAAAGCCCGTCTTCTAATTATGTTTGTCTTAAAAATTTCATTAAGTCGAATGAATGGTGGTAGCAAAACTGAAGCTCACTTCACTTTACTGAGTTTTTATCTTAATTCTTTCAGTTCGTTATATCTAAACGATCTGATGGAAGATTGCCAGACAACAATCGGCAACGAGATCATGCATTTTCGGCTTTATTTAATCAAGTATCATCTTTATTAGCAATTAATGAATGTGATAATCTGAACTAAAATAAAATACTGCTTTCCTAGTGCTGTCACTGATGTAAGGAAAGAATGAGCAATGATTTAACGATTCAAAGTTATTACCCACTACTTACTTAGTGGAGTCCTCATTATCAGAAATACAAAAATGATATTGACGACACTAATTAATTTAGATGGATTTTTTATCGCCAGTTTATCGATCCTCACTTTGTACAACTAAAAGTCATGATGGTAGTAGTTTTGCAAGCTCTCAAAAAGAGCTATCACCTGTCATGAGTGCAGTTGATAGTGTTACTTTTATTGCTAGCCAGATGAAAGATGACAAAGATGGACAGCAGGTGAGCTCATCATATACATATATGCATGTGTAATTATATATCTTTTTATTAATGACGATTTACTTTGAACACTTCTGAAATTCTTCCTTTTCCAAATTATCGTAGTTAACAAGAGCTAATGGCAGTGAAAAAGATAGCATCTAATGGCATTAATATGGTATTTACATGAATTACTAAATGAACTTTATTGAGTTTTAGATAGTGGAAGACTGGAAATATATATCGGTTGTGATGGATAGATTGTTTTTGATATTATTCACAACAGCTTGTATTGCTGGAAGCTTTATGATTATTTTGCGAGCCCCAACAATATATGATACTACCATCGCATTAGCTTAATTAAATAATAAAAAAAATTAGTTGGCCTTTATCAGAAACATCGTACTAATTGAGAAAAATGTACAAAAATAATCACTATCTACATTCCTGCTGTTTGTTGTTTAAATATATCGCATGAGCTAAGCTGTGCCCAATATGTCTATGAAACGATCTGCTGTTATTTCTAGACATCATTTACAACTCTCAAGTAAATCAAATCTAGTTCTAAACGTTCCCTCTCATCTCACGCAACGTTCATCGCCAGTTAACAACTATATAAGTGCTCGGCTCCGCCAGGTAGTTAAAGGTGGACGGCTATGATTCAAAATGTAAAATGGAGAATGGAAGGGTAAATCCGCATTTGGAATCATAAATGACAATAAGAGAGAAACAGATGAGGTTGAGAAAGCTCTGTTAAGAGTGTGAGGGAGCACTCTGCCAGTGTACCGACACCAGTGCAAAGTATAATGATCACGCTTGAGGCGCTCGTCTGAAATCAAGGTTCTGCAGAGCAGATGGTCAGCAGAGGTGTTGAGAGAGGTTCTTAACTGCTACGAGAAAGTAGCGATGGGGAATAGATCCTGTGACGTTCCACGTATGATTACGAGTTCACAAGTGTGATTTATGCTAGCCATAATGTAAGGAGAGACAAATTCAGGGAGCTCTGAGCTGAAATGTGGTACTGTGGAATAGAAGAGGGTGGTGGTATACAGCACAATGAATATCTGTAATAATTCGTCCTGAAATATGAAGGTTCAGAATATTTTCTTTACTAAAGCCGGATTGAGGAAAATTGTCACCAATTTGCCAAATTGGGAGGTTACAGGCTCCAGTGGAGTCTACAACTTCATTAAAAAATGCACCTCTTTGTATCCATATCCGTCAAAATATTGAGGCAGATTTGCCTAGATGGAGGGGAAAAGGTCTCATGGTTCTGTAAAAAACTACCTGATTCCAAAAACTACAAATTATGTCGTAAACAAAGGCAGCGACTTCAAATCAATAACTTGTATCTCGGACTTCTGCATGATGACAACGAAGTGTGTGGCACGAGTCATGCAGTTAGTTGTTGCAACGAGAAGACTACTACTTGCAGATAACCAATAGGAACTGTTGTCCAGGTTTAAGATGCGAAATAGCAGCTACTGTGTTTGCTAGAGAGCAGGCATTGAATGAAATACACTGCAACAGTAGTGGATAGACCTCTTGCACCGACCTGCGAAAGCTACATGAAGAATGAGCGAAGAGATTTTAGCAAGAATTGAGTCACTAGCCAAAACTGATTGGAATGGCAGATATTATTTATTCGAGGCAGTCAATGAGCATGCTACAGTTTAATAGACTGTTGTTGCATTTAGAGTACTCATACTAGAATTAGAGATTTCAAAGCTATTGCGCACTTTGCATCCCACGCATGCGACACCGCTTTGTTCAGGAGGTCGTCGTAAATGATAGAGACCAGGATCAATAACAGCTATAAATAAAAGTGTGGATCGACCAAATATCGTGACCCACGGTAAAAAGTGTCTTGAAGCAATTTAGATAGAGGCTGGCATCACTAGTCAAAACAGGTTGACAGCAGTTGAGATCGAGAAAAAACGCATGTATGATCTATTGACTAATAAACTTAGGTCAGAGGTGAAATTCAGGACGAAAGTAATTCTATATGTGACTGCTTGAGATGGGATTGTAACGAACTTCCACAAACGCTAGGCGAAGACGATCAGTATATCTGATCACGTCGAGGCATATATTCAGTCGATAGTGATCAAGAAGACGCTCAAAAGCACTCCCTCGATCACTGCCATAATCTTTGATCGGATGAGAGCTGGAAGACAGTAATGAGCACCACGGCAGTAGAAGTTTTTTGAGGATAAAATAATTTGTTTATTTCGGCTTTTTGCCGATGAATATTTGAACGAGTATGATTCTGATATGCTCTATACAGTTCTGCTCAGCTGTTAGATTATCGATTTGTTTCGAAATCAGTCCTTTTAATGAGCTTGAAACCAAGTATTACGTTTCAAGGCTGCTTCCCACATCTCTCGCTGCAGAGTCCTCATGAGCATCAGTTCTGATGGCTCCGGCTCCGGAATCGGCTTCCATCTTTAATATAAAACTTCATATTTTGGCAATTAAAAAAATCGTGTAGTTTTGTTGCTTTAAAAAAAAATGACCGTATTCAATAATTGGTATATATATATATATACCATATAATTATTGGTATATATATATATATATATATATACCAATAATTATATGGTTATACCAATTATTGAATATCATTATATATATAATGATAGCAACGTACACAAAGGCATATTCGTAACCAGGACGACTTTCGATTGCATACCACACAAATGCCCTGTTACCACCCATCCAACCTAAAATGATATCAGTTATCATAATGTTCCTGCTACTGACATTAAAACAATATCATGCTTCTCTCAGCATGAGCAATATAATTTCAGTCACTTCTTGAAACCTCATATAATAAATGCTGGTTGCAAAAAAGTATAAAATTCATGACTTTTTGTTACTCAACGATCATAAACCCCTTACGTTTTTCAATTTAATTCTTTTTGTATTTTTGTCGAGAGTAGTGAAGTTCATTCTCATCGGAAATTAAAGTTATTATATTTAACTGTTTCATCCAAATTAACAGCTAGTTATATGTAAAGTATTTGAGTCCTGCAATTCAATGCACATGTAGATAATTCGCTGTTATATAATTTCGGTATGCAAACATACTTCTGTCTGACATTATTTCCACTTTGTTCAGGCCGTATATAGTATACAGCACAACAAGACAAATAAATCCCAAAATTTGAGTATTCAGTGGAATCCACTCAAAACTGTACCACACATAGTGACGTTCTTTATATCTGAAATACTCAGTTTTGATGCATTATGATTGTTGGTATTGGTGTAATAAAAGATTGACACTCACTAACTGTCCCAAAAGTAATTTGATGCTAGCGGCAGTTGACAAAGACCGACCAACGAAGTTTTTTATAATTCTTTTAGAAACAAATGACTTGCTGTAATTATCCGTGCAATAAATGTGGATGAGGAAAAGCGCACCCTATTAAACCTTCAACATTACTAGTTTGCCACAAGTCATATTTGCGCAGTAAACTGTTCTGAGGTACTTTAGTAGTAGTCACGGATATCAAACCCCTTCTGCATGCAAATCGTTTCAGTGAGGAAATCAGTAGAGGGCGCAGTCTTGCAGTCATGGAATTCATTATGATGACGAACTGAATCCTCACTGTTGCTCAATATTATTTATTTCAAATGACGACTTTCACTTTTGCATAAATACTAGCTCATTTACATATACCTTCAGTATTTGCGAGACTAATTGACTTCAATCACATTTTGTTCTTTTTATCAGATTTAAAAGAAAGTCATCATCACTTATTAATGTGTAATTCACTTTGTTGCAAATACTCAGCTTATTTGGAAGCTGTTCTTAATTTTTCGCTTGTACACATAAAAAAGCACTGCTTTTTCCATGTTAAAGCGGATCGATTTACAAAAGAGCAACTTAAGGTGGGAAGTAAAATTTTTGGCACTTATAAGAGTAAGTTTCTCAGCTAGTGATTTTAACAAATCTAATTCTTTTAAAATAAGTAAAACAGAAAATTGGGAAACAAGCATACTTGACATTCACCAAAGAGCCAAAAAAATAATGACAAGAAGAAACAGATGAGTTGAAAGCAACTCGAAGGATCAGCACTAAAGAGATGATAAATCATGAAAAAAAGAGGAAAAATTCTACACTTTTTTGATGTTTGGTCAAAATTGGGAACAGTTTGAGTAATAGATTTGATGAAATCACCTGATTTGGTAATTCAGATTTGGCACTTTTTAAAAGCAACAAAAAGTTGCGTTGCAGTCAAGACTAGTTTCAACTACTTCTGTGCTTTAACGGAAGGCAAAATGACAAATGAATTTTCCCATCTACTGCACATTAAAGTTTACCACTGAATTAAATACATGAATCAATATTCTTTTGCGCTTTACTTGGACCGTATTCCGAAACTCTGGCTGTAACTGTCTTCCTTGTGCTGACCAGATTTCTTGTGCTGACCTTTTTCGCATCTTCCTTGTCAAATCCATAGCAATCATCGAACGAGGTGCTTTTGAGTGTCTTCTTGAGACTATAGAGTGAATATATGCCTTCACGTGATCAGATATACTGATCTCCTTCGTGTAACGTTCACGGAAGTCAATTACATACAGATATACTTCCATCCTGCATTTTATCTCTGACCCGAGTTTATTAGCCAGTAGATCATACTTTCATTTTTTCTCAGTCACAGCTGCAGTTTTTTATTCTATCTCTCATCACTAATTACTTATTAAATTTCTCTAGCGCATTTTTTTGCTTAAAGTACTTTATATGCTTGTGATATGCATAATTTCCCATACCTTGCCAAGTTTATATTTTGTGCAACCTATTTTCAAATATCCAAAATTCAAATATTTTACCTTGATTTGATGCCCTATACACTAAAATGGGTAGTGCTTGCTTTATACCAATACCACTTTCAGCTTCGCAACATTTGAAACACCATTTTAAATGTTGAAAATTAAAATCCTGCCCATTTGTCCGCTATGCATTATAATATCTGCACTGTTTATTTATTATTAAAAATGTTTTATTCAACCGTAATTGAAGTAATATTTTTAATTTTTGACAATAAACAGTTACTCCATAATAAATCAGTTAATATTGTAATATACTTTCAAGGGAGTAAAATTAGACTTACTAAAATTATTTTTTTTAAATAAAAAAATAAAAAACTTACAGTGAGCTTAATGTCGTTAACGATGAAAAAAAAACTGACAGAATAAATTCTAAGATCATGGTTAAATTGTTCAACGCTCCTCCAGCCAAAACGTTGAGAGTATACCATTTTGGTAAGTTCTCATTAACTTTTAAAAATCCAATTAACATAACAAAAGCAGTAAGGAATAAATCGAATAACTGAATAGTTTTCATCATTATACCCCAAAACATAGGAATCATTCGGAAGTATTTGAATATTTTCTCTTGTTGACTACAAGATAGATGAATGCTGACTGAATAGATAGATACAAATAATTATATTCGAATATATTTGCTTTATGATTGTCTATTTTTTTTAGTGCAGGTTTCTTCTTAAACACTGTTTTTTATTCATTTGAAGTTTATCCCTATTAGCGATCTCTTGAGAGTTAATTTACATTATATTCTGAAATATAATGTGAATTAATAGTAGTAATAATAATAAATAATAATAATAATAATAATTAATCAGCATCAAAGGAATGAAGTTATTTACTTGTGCTCCTTTTATCCTCTGAGTATTACAGAACAGAGAAATATTACTTTTCTGTCAGATAATCAACTTCATGGTAAATGACATCAAATAATTGAGTGGTCATTTTGCAGTTATAACACATTAAATTTTAACAGTAAGGCCTTTTTGCTTTCAAAGATTACATTAAAGTAAGTTGTGAAACAGTCAAAAGAAATAAAGTTTATATTGTATTAAGGAAAAAGGTTAAAGTATATGTCAATTTAATATAAATATAAATCATAATAATTATATTAATAGAAAAATAATAACAGTGATAATGGTGAAATAGTTTGCTAGAAATTTTTCCGAGCCATCCACAAATATCATTAACGTAACTGTTGGAAATTGTAAGAAGTTTTTTCGCCTGACATGCGTGTGCTTGCAAACAATTATTTCTTTATCACAGACCAAATAAGTGTGCAATGCCTTCTCTCTGGAAGTACTTTTTCTATTGAAT